TGCTGTAAGAAACTTCAGTGAGTTCCGCAACTAAGAAGATCCTGCATATCACATGTAGTAATTTAAACTGTTAACTATTTTAAACTTGTAATATTAATTAGTGCAAAATATATGTTAAGATATGCGTGTCTGCCCGTGTGCGCGTCCCATTTTCGCACAGCTGAATGCACACTGAATCAGCAAAAAGTGAGTCAGTGCATTTAATTAGTGATGCAATGCCAACTCACACACTCACGCATACACACATAATCCCTCCCTCATTAGGTGTATTGTGGGGATGCTGATGTAATGCAAGTTAATCTGTTGGCCTCTGGTTGGCTCGGTGGCCCAGCGGGAGCTCTTTGTGTGGGACATTACCCTGGCCCCGCCCCCTGGAGACAGGTTCATTAAGATTGACGCTGATACCCAAGGACCCAGACCTTTTGTGTGTGTGTGCGTGAAACAGAGTGTTTCAGTCAGCTATAATAGATACAATGCAACGAAGAGGACGGCTATAAAGCCACTGTTTTCTCAGCATGTGCCTGAGTGCACGTAGACTAAAAATCTTGAGTGGCGTGTGTGTGTGTGTGTTTGTGAGTGAATAAGCATTATCTGCATGCAAAAGTGTGCCACACACACAAAATATGAGTTTTTAATGCTTGTCTGTTTTGCAGCCATATTTTGTTCACAACTCATGTTGAGCAGATAAATCGAAAACAAGCCACTTCTCCCAAATGGAAACAGCAATGATATAAAATGGAACAATTGAAATTAGAAATAATACCTTAAAATTCAGTTTGTGTCTTTTTAATTAATAATCTTTTTAATTGAATTTCCCTTCTGGGATAAATAAAGTATTTTTCATTTTTTCATCCATTTAACCTGTAAGTATAGTTAAAGATTATTTTATTGGACTCAGTTTCACATCTACAGTATATTCTGTGTTAGCTGATTTCCTGAGGCCATATGAAACATTTTTTTCCCCAAATCTTCAGTTGTCACATCCGATGTAAACTTTGGGATCACCATTAGAGTTTATGATAAAATTCTGTGGTTTATATTGACAGATTTGACAGATCACTTGAGGTCAGACTGAACAAGTTTTTTTTTTCTTATGACTGCAATTATATGACAATTCGTAGTCAAAATAAAATGACGAGTCAAAAAAGTGACCCATCATTCTGAAGCACCTTTCAGAATATTTGCTTTACATATATTTAATGTAGGTGATGCATTAACATGGAAGCAGCAAATATTAAACTAAATTGGCCATTTGTAGCTAAGCTGTAAGAAGTACATCTTCCATAGGGCAATGGAGCGATCGTATGCCTCAAAATTGTACTTATGTACAGTACTTGAATAATTATTTAGTTGTGTTGCTTTTTACCCCAGAGAAACACTGTAAACTGTTCTGTTAACTCTCCAACACTATATATGATCTTATCACCAAAAGCTGATGAGGAACTAGCCAACTTTTGTGCCAAGTGCCACATGACAAAAAGAAAATTAGAACATTTTTGCTGTCGGCCCTGCAGGTTGTGCCCACCAAATTAAAAATAGGAGTGGGATTATTTGTGGGTCGGTGTGGTTTTAGCGTGTGAGAGGAGTGTGTGTTTGCTCCCCTGTGCAGCCAGCAGCGCACTTAGCATGGGCTTTAAATAGCTAACTCAAATAAAGTGAGAGGAGGCCGGGGATCAGAGGCTGAGAGGGACTCTGTGAGGGAGGCATTCCCGAACGGAAGCCAGCCTTTGGATTTCCAAACACCATTCGGAGCGAGCAATGCCAGGAATGTGATGTCGTCCAGCAGCGGTGGCGGCGGCGGCTGTGAAAACCACCGGGCCACCAGGTACTGGTGTGCCGCCTGACAGGAAGTGCAGTGGGAAGTGCAAGCAGAGGTCCAGCTGGGGGACAAAATGGCAGCAGGTGACTCAGCAGAGCGAGGACGAGAGGCCGACTGCTGCTGCTAGCTGAGTCTGTGTCAGGCCTGTCTGAGTAACACCAGAGCTTCTATCAACCCCGAAAATCTCTGAATCACTGAAAAGGGAACACGACTCCCCCTCCAAAACAACTTCTTTCTCATCGACTAACCGCTCTTCCGCACTTTGCCTCCTTTTTTACACACTGTGTTAAATTTCTATTCTTTCTCATCCTTTTTACCTTTTGACGGCCTTCTTTGTGTGCAGGCTGTGGGAAAGTTTCCCGTAATGGTGAGGTCATCCACCACCAACAACTACCCCCACCCCCCACGCAGACACAGACACACACACACACACCATCTCTGCATCCCCCACCCTCCGTGCTGTCCCTCCAGGCCAGGCAGGACTGCAGGACAGCACTGTGTCCCCACGTCTCTGTCCCACTTCCAGTTCCTCGGCGCTCCCCACAGATAGGGAGAACCTGAATAGAGCCTCATTCAGAGCTGGTATCTGATGATCTGGCCTCCAAAGCAAGACACGGCAGATGGAGACAGAAGGCCATCAGTGGATCTGCAAGGCACCTGGAGACCTATCAGGCATTTAAACCACCATTTTCTGTCATGTGTACGCCCAAAGATGCTCTTTGTCCTTCTCAAACACACACACGCAGGCTTGGACACACTCTGACACTGCCAAGTTTATTCAAGAGGGTGTTTCTTTGTGCATGTGTGGACCTGCTCAGGTTCATCTGCAGCAGCTTCCTGCTGTAAAACCAGTGTGGTTAGAAAAGAGAAGAGAACCAAGAAGGCTACAAATCCAACAAAAATCTGATTATGACTCCAGTACTTTAAAGTGCTGGAGTCGGGATCAAATCTGGTGGCTGATTACTGCCATCTATTGGTACAACTGTAAATGACATGGGATTTTAAAAGAATCATTTTTCCTGAAATGACCAAAAAACATATTATTTTACCGCTACTCATGGTTCAGTCAAATCATGATACCAAATTGAATTTTACATATAACTAAAATGTACTTTTCATAATTAAAATGGGTCAAATAACTGGAATTCAACAGGTATCACCTGTCGTGACTTATTTTTTCAATGTGCAGTTTGTCTCAGCTGTAAGGAGGCTTTATTTTAATTTCATTGTTTTGGTATATCAGGACACAACTCTGCTTTTTTTCCACAAGATTTAATTGCATCACTCTGATCGGTGCTACCAGATGAGATGAAGAATCATGCCACCCAGGTTTAGACACACTTCGGGCCAAACAAGAACAAATTTTAATGTTCATTTGGTGAAGATAAGCTCCCTTCTGACAAAAACAGATAAGGGAATAAAGCAACTGATGGATGGTCTCTGTTTACGAACATTTAACTGCCATAACCACTCTTGTGTCTTACATTGTGTTTTTAGCTTGTTAAAATTAAAAAGTAAATGTCCCGCATTCAAAAGTTTACTCAGAAAAGTAAGGATGACCAACAAAATGTACTTCAACAGTAATATTAATTGTGCAGTCAGTGTTTTACTGTGAGGTTTTTGGATTCATAAAATGTTGACAAAATGTTTATGTTGCATTTTACTGCTATAGATAATTAGGGTTGAGCTATTTTTGACTACTTTATATACTGTTATGGTAATTTAATCTATAGCAATGTATCATATTCTATAAGACATTCACATGTCTGCAGTGTTGATGTCCTGTGAGAACCACACGTCTTTTCATGAGCTCAGAAGAAACAATACTTTGTTCAACTTTGTGACTATGCATTTTCCAGATAATCCAAAGTTGTTGTTTTTTTTTTGTTTTTTTAACAAAAAATACTTTGTAAGTCTTAAGAAGTAGAAAAGTGTTCTCAACCTGTAAAAGAGGCTTTTTGTTTCTGAAAAAAACAAACACACAAAAAAAACTAAATCACCAAATTAGAGATACAAGGTATTCACTGGACAGGAAAGTATATATTAAAAAAAATCTGACAAGGAACTAGTAATTAAAGCTGCCAGAGTAAAAAGCAAAATATTTGCTTTTGTGATGCTGTACAAAGTTTCACAAAATGGAATTATTTGAATTCTACCACTAGAGAAAACAGTTTTGGGAAAAATCACAAACCTCAGTGTAACCTTAGAATTTTCTTCTTCTTGTTGTTTTTAAACTGTTTTCTACTAAAGACACAATTCAGTTTTACATTGAGGTGACCAACAACTTTCAACATCCTAGGATGGATATCTTAAGACCTGAACAAATATAAATAAATAATACCCAATCATGATGTGTGAGATGTGTTCATGTTATATTTTGTATATACATTTATTACAGTGTCTGTATTTGATCACTCACTAGATTCAAAGAGAAAGTCAAGGCACCATAACTGTACACAAATCTGTATTGAAGTTATTGGTAAATGAACATATTAACAGCTATATTAGTAATACAAGAAGTATACATGGGCACATTATGCAGTAGCTTACTGTTATATAAAATACCACATCATATTCTTCCACAACAATATGTGACATAATTTCCTTCCCGATGTACAGTTTGTGTTAATATATAAAAATATATGACAAGTACACTTAGGAAAAAGAAAGACTTTTACACATCTGTAAAAGGGATAAATATCTCTAGCAATATATAAACACAACACAGTACATCCATCTTAAGTACAGCGCAACCACGTTATTGGCTTTGTCAGGCAACAGTATCGCTGGTGTAGTTTTAATATAAAAATTGTCCCGTTGTTTACACAAAGCTGATGCTGAAACCTGATTTACACATTGTTAGCAACAAGGACAGGTTTCAGAATCATAATTATAATTAAAAAATTATATGTTTATGTGCAGAAAATCTATTATTCTGTGTTATACTGGAAAGCTTTTAACTGCCAGGAACAAGCAAGGTTTGTGTGATGAGGAACATCCATCCATCCATTATCTATACACTGCTTAATCCTCACTAGGGTCGCAGGGGGCTGGAGTCTATCCCAGCTGACTTAGGGTGAAGGCAGGGGACACCCTGGACAGGTCGCCAGTCTATCACAGGGCTACACTTAGAGACAGACAACCAGATTCACACCTGTGGACAATTTAGAATCACCAATTAACCTCAACATGTTTTTGGACTGTGTGGGAGGAAGCTGGAGAACCCAGAGAGAACCCATGCAAATTCCACGCAGAAAAACTCCCGGTGTCGCGAACTGGCAACATTCTTGCTGCAAGGCGACGTTGCTAACCACTGAGCCACCTTGCAGCCCATGACGGAAACATTTAGAATTAATTTCAAAATACAGGCCACATAAAGCAGTGACAAAAATGGACTTTTATACTAGATCTTCTGTGAACAAGTATTTGCTCATATACACATTTAATAAAAAAGCTCCAGAAAAATGCAGAAAAAAGTAGTCATGGCCTTCTTCTGATGAGTTTAACTTTCTATGTGACAGTGTGGGCCCCCTCTGGTGGCAGCATCCTGCAGTGCAGCCAGTACAAAATACACAAGTTCTGCCACAAGGACCAACAGAATTGGGAGCTGGAGTGTTTTTGGCTCTTGATCTTTCACATATTTATGTAATGTTGACATTAGAAGTTGTTCCTGAAGTCCAGGTCCTTTCCTCTGCAGCTCCAGTCTCTTCCTTTTCACTTTTTGTGTGACCCAATCATGACCTTAGACACAAAGTTGACGATGGCACTCGCCGGCTGCTCGGGGTCGTGTTCAGCAAACAGATGGCACATGTTTTCAGTCTCACTCTGAGATTTCCTGGCTACAAATCCAAAGATCCTGGGAGGAAGAAGATTTACAGATTTACAGACATTTCCACAAGAGCAGAGAAACTTTCAAGGAATGTTTTTAATACAAAGCAAACAACAGTCAGGTTTTAAATCTCATTTGGTTTGCCCATATGATATTTTTTGTAAGCTAGAAGACATATTAGGAGCTAAAAAAGTACCATAAGGTCCATCTTAATACTGCAGCATGATGCTGACAGTCTCAAAAACACAGATTCAGACTTCTGTGGTTTTACACAAACCCAAGAAACCACTTATGTCAACTTGCAGGGTGGAACTTTCTGTATCATTCTTCTTCTCCAGAGGAAGCAACGTGATGAAGTTACATATAAAACCTTTTAAGGCAGGAAGGTATTATTTTAATGAAAAAAAACAAAAACGCTTAAATATGCAAATTTGATACATCAATGAGTTTTTAGGGGTTAAATTAATACATGGAGAGGGAATTCAAATTGATTAGAAACTTTTCTGTAGATTGTTTGGCTGTAAAACATTTGAGGGTTTATTTATAATGAAGCTTGCCTGAATTAATGTAAATTATAGTGACTTCAAAAGCCTTGATTTTACTCTCATGTGGTCATGCACACAGACAGCTGTGGAGTCTAGGGGGATGGTTAGCAGCGGCGAATATTCGGATATCAAAATTGCTATCCGGACACCAGCACAACGACCGAATACTCAAATATTCTGATATTTGGGTCCTGCCCTAGTGTATACGTTTATATTTCATAAATTCGTTGCTCTGGTATAAACAAAGATGAAATAAAATGGACATAATGTTTTAAAGAGGGTGTAACTAACATGAATTCCACCTTTTGTACAGTTACCTTGAGTTAACATAGCATATAGTGTTCTGTGAATGAGTCTGATACTTAAAGATAGTGTGGCCACTTCACCAGCACACAATCTGACACCTGATGGTTTGACAGTGCTGAATTAGCATTTAAAATAGGCAGTTTCAGGGTAACTGGAGAAAAACCTTAACACACTAGCCCTACTCAGTGTTCGAATTAGTCTGTAGACCTTCAATGAATAAACATCAACACGTTTGAGTGCAAGAAAAAAATGCAACCATGATACATATTGATTCATGATCGGATCATGAGATTTTTGTGAAATGAACTTACTTTGCGGTAGAGCCGCTGTCTCTTGTCCACCTGTTTGGGGTAGAATTACACATTAAAATCACACAGTCAAAATGATAATTGACAGTTTCTTGATGAGTCTGACAATGCTACTGTTGCTGTAACGCATTTCTGCAGATAAAACCACCATCCAAACAACAAAATTTGCATAAAGAATCATCAAATAATGTGCACTAATCCAATTTCAATCATTGCTTGTTCTTTTGCAAGAACACTGCGTCTTTTCCACCACTTTTCCAACCAATGTATCCCATTCTTCTCATCTATGCACAAATATGTTTTTTAGTGCTTTATTGTAAGTAGTGGCCAAATTCTTGCAGGAGTGGCTGATTTTATGTCAAAACTTTATAGAGCAGAAGTGAGTGTCCAATATTAGTTTAATTTTAAATTCAGCAGTAGGGTATTTGCTTGTCTGTAAAATTAACAGTTTAGATTCACCATATTAAAAATATAGACCTAACTATAGGAACTCAGTGTAACAAAGTCAGTATACCTTTTATTGCCTCCTACTTTTTAGCTGTTCTTTGCTGGAAAGCTTCTGCTGCTCTATCTCTCTCTTTAAAATACCCCAAAGGTGTTCTATTGAATTCAAATCAGGCGACTTTGTCATAATTAGTCATTAATTTTGCACTTTATCCAATCTTCAAGATGGTACTGCTATACGTAAGCGTGTGCATGTTGATAAAGAGAATACTGTTTTCCTATTTTTGTGTTATTGCAGTCTGTGTAAATAAAGTCAGAACTCACTTCCTCCCCTGTGGGTCCAGAGAACAAAATATCACAGTGTTGACAGCGTAGTGTCTTCTGAAAAATAGTCTGTTGGATCAAACAAAGACAGAGAGTTTGTAAGAACATGTGAGCTTCCTGTGAAGTCCCCTGAATCTGTGCATATGTGCGTGTTTGGGCTGTAAGTGCACAACCACTCACTTTCTCTGGTTGTCGGTGAGTGTGATTCCTTGTGCCGACACTTTGAAGTGGACAACAGTAGAGGCTGGCGGAGGGTCCATGGAGAGTGTCAGCGTGGTCGCCTTCTGAACCGCCTGGTGTCCTGTCAGAGACTCCAGCTCCACAGAGCCCAGGTACCACACATTGCACGCTACGCAGCCACAGATAAAGGGAGCATGTCACCAACATGTGAAAATAAAGTCTCTATCTACCGAATTCATCAAATCGAAGAGGACTTGTTGTGTCTTTTGTAGTGGATACAAACTTCACTGAAGTTTCAGCTGAGGATTTGTGTGTTGATAATAAATGTTGTGTATACAAGTAAATAAGTCTTGTACCTGCTCCCTGTTTGAGAAGTTCAGCTGCAGAGTTTGTTGCAGTTTGTGCAGATGAGTCACTGATCTCCTCCACTGGGTCTGCAAGCAAGAAAAATAAAACAGCAACAAGTTTACTTGCAAAAATGAACAAATTGCATCTATGCACTGTTCATTTTCATCCATATTATGCTATTGTACCAAGAATGCGCATGTACACACACGCTGCATGTAAGGCTGAGAATCACATAAAAATCACAAACACATTTTTTGCAGTTTAAATGTTGTTTTCCATTTTTCTCTGTTTTTGCTGCCTCAGATTTCTAGTATGTTGTAGGATATGTGCTGTGTAGTCAGGACTAGCCAGCTAAGCAGTGCTTAAGCAGTGAAAGCTAAAAATAAACATTAGTTGATGGTTCTTCAGCACTTTTTGCTGTCTGTAACCGCCGCCACACACTGCAATTCTTTGACTTTCAGCAAGACGTATGACTATTTATGAGCAGTCAAGCCACATGATATGAACAGTGATAAAGAGATTCCACAGGTTTCAGTGGTTGTGACTGTTAAAGTAAACAAATCAAAATCCACAGAGTGGTCTGCAGTTTGTCAAAGGTGGTGTTAAAGCCTGACCTGATTTTAACCAGAATGACAAGACTTCTAGAATTATACTCGAATTTCGAAATAAGTTCTGTGCAAAAGGTCTAGGCTTGTTAGATATCAGAGTATTATCAGGAAGGCATCTGGTCTGTCATTGATTCTGCTGCGTGACAACAAAGCCAAACACACAGCCACAGGCACAGAGAATATGAACAGCAGCAAGAAGAACATGAGTCCTGCAGCTGATGGCATGGACTCTATAGAGTCCTGATCTCATCATCAGAATTGTTGGATTTTCAGCTTTCCAATGGTCCCTGACCTAATGTTTTGTGATGCGCTGTTCCAACAGGACAATAAACCAAACCTATGTTTAAAATAGTGATATTTTATCAAAATATCTTTATTGTACATCTCTTATTCCAAAATTTGCACCAGATCGTGTAAAAAACAAAAAATTCTGCCACACTGCAGGGTGTACTTACTTAAAGAAGACAGGAGATTAGTATGTAATTAGAATTAAAGTGACTGAGAGCAAAAGAAAACTTACGTTTACGTAAATGCAGCTAAAAACTGCATTCTAAGGTGCAAGTTGTTAGAAAATACACTTCATATGATGAAATATCTTTCTAGACTTCTTGTGCAGAGTAGAGTTAAAAATGCATACTTTGACTTTGTAGGAGTGTTAAAAATGTAAGTGCTCAAATATTAGCAGTATGTAGCGCCACCAGTGTTGTCCAGTGTTAGTAACACAGTGGACACAAAATGCTGAACATTTTGATTCTGAAATGTCAAAGTGTAAAACAAGCATTCCAAAAAATGTAACACGATAACTTTGATGTACTGCACAGAAGACCTTTCTGAGTTTCTCTATGTCTAGCTATGGTTGTTTCATAGAGGTACAGAACTGTTTGTTGCAGTGACAGATGAGTCCACAGTGAGGATGTTGTGAACGGAGCAAAAACAAACACCCAGAGTCTACTTGGATTTTAGAGGGTCAAAGAGGGCTCTGGGTGCTCCTTAAGCATAAGAGTTTGTCTCCCAGCTCTACTTATGGTACCATTCAGTGATATAAAAGCATATTTAGTCACACAGACAAGGTTTACCTCTGTCAGGAAGGATAAGTTTACAAGGCAGAGCCAGAGGAGTGATGGAGTGCTGACACACCAGAGCCGTGAGACTTCCTGTCAGGGAAAATAAATGTATTATTAACATTTCAAAACCACATAGCTCAACATACTGAAAGATGGAGCTAGTTGCGCTGTCATGTAGTGACCAGTAGAGGGTGGAAGAGGAGACACAAAATCCTGGATTACAGTGCTGCTATAACCTCACTGATGGACTATGAACAGATGCTCACCGGGCTGTAGTCATCATCTTGTGCTACCTTTTGTATTCCACTGTTTCAATGCTCTTCTCTGTATATTTATGTATGGAGATTTGTTTTGCACAGACAACCTGCTGCAAATAATAAGCTTATTTTCTGATATTCAATGAAACAGCAACTGAAGCAGGGAATTATCTTGAGTACACACAGTCCAGCTGCAGCATTCTCACCAAAATATGGCTCGTTGGGGCAGCCTTTCAGACGAACTCCTTTCTGTGTACACTCTATCAGGAAGTGTCTCACCAGCTCATTGGACAGATCTCCTACTGCAGAGACAATTTCAGTGTATGTTAGCATAATCACATTTGTACATGACTAAAAAAATCTGTATATAAAGAACAAATTTGATTAGGAAGCAAAGTGCTAACTCAGCTGACCTAAAGTGCTGAAGTCTGCGCTTTGAAATGTCAGCTCTGTTCAGAATGGTATCTTTATAACTTTGAAACTTCAGAAAAAGTTAATTCACATAGAATAGAGAATTTTGCTTGTGTATTTTCAACTCACATTTTTTACTTTGTTGCAACACTGACGGAGGAGGTGTGGCCACCTTCATGGCCAATCCATACGCCCCACGAAATGAATGGCTGTCTCTGACAATGAATGAGCCGGGCTCTTTGTCCTTCAGCACTGCGATGGCTGTTCAGTAGGTCAGCAGAGGGAGGAAATAGAGATAAGCTAAAGTTAGAATCATGTTCAGACTGTATATGGAGGAAACCTTTGCACAAGGGTGTATTATCTGTTCACGAGTGGCTGTTAGCCTCTCTGGTCCAAGACCAATATTTACCTTGGTCTCTGGAAATGTCGGGCTTGTACCAGAACTTGGATGTGTCCTGAACAAACTTCACAGTGTCCTGCTTACTGCCAAAGTCTACCAGACACAGATTAAAGCTTTCTGTTAGGTTTCAGGCTGGCTTTAGGCCAAATATGATCAGGAAATAGAAAAAAGTAAAGAGACAGACACTGGTTAAAGGGTCAGTACACACTAATTCCAAAAAGACTCAACAGTGGTAGGAAACTGTGTAGTCATTCAAATAATTTTACATTTGGTTGTCCTCTGAGGTTTATGGCGCCACCAATAAATTGGAAGGATAAAGGTGAACTGAAGGAAATTAACTTTTGTTTGTAGTACTTAAATGCACTAAAATCAATGGATGGCTTCGCAAGAATGTGTATTTCTTCGCTCAATGTTGAATAAACCAATGAGAAAGAATTTGTCCGTAACACAGATCTTGCTGCACACAATCTTCATGAGTACGACAAAGTTTTCCTGTATTTTTAAAATGCCCACAGCTTTTTTCTTTTTCTTTATTTTTTTTCCTACAAATTGTAAGATTTATTCATAATTATTAAGCTTTATTTTCAAAATATAGACAGTTTTTTGTTAGTCTTATGACTTTTTTCCTTCTAAAATGTAACTTTATTCTTACTTCTTAACCTTTTTTACTTACTTCTCAAAAGTTTTGAATAGTTTTATTCAAAAAAGTGCTTCTAATGCTGCTTCTTTCTGTTTAAAAAAAAAAGCAAAAAAAAATTGAAAATGTTCCAGGTATTTTAAATTTTAGAAAATAAATAATTAAATATATTTAACCTTTGCTTCATTTTTTTAAAAGAATTATTCCAACACAGCTTTGTTATACTGCATGGACAAAATGATTTCACAGTGTGTAAATAGTGACAGGAGCAAAAAAAAAAAAAACAACAACCAGGAATTGTTTGGGCGTCAGAGAGTTAATCAGTATAAGAAAATTACATTAATTCCCATTGTTTTGATGTTGTAGTTGACATTATAAACTTCATCCGCACTTACAGCGATGCTCGCACAATGAATTTCTCTTACAAGCAGTGCTATTTTCAAATATTCTCAAGGGACAAAAGATCTGGAAAAATATAATTCATATTTATGTAAAAATTGAGGGGACTATTGCAAAGGTTAGCTGAATGATCACGGAAACTCCATCTGCTGATACAAAACAGCATTTCAAAGCGCTACAAAACAAAAGTTTTCTCTGTCAAACTACTTATTGCAAAGTCAAGGACAAACTTCCACAATGTTTTTGTTTTTTTTGTTTTTTTTGTGAATTAGATGAACTAATCATTTCTCAGAGGGAGATCAACAAGGCGAATGCTCTAAAGCCAGAGACAGACACTCTATGTGGGACAGTGTACCTGCTCCAGGCGACTGCGCCCCACTGAGTCCTCTGAGGGGGTCGGGGGTCATGGAAGACGAGAAAGGGATGCTGAGACTGCTGCCACTGTGAGGGCTGGAAAACCCACTCAAAGAAGGGGAGTGTGAGCCAAGGTCTCCCCCCTCACCCCCTCTTCTCTTTTCAGGCAGCAGTGGTGCGAGGCCCCCGTCTCCCCCCAGGTTCAGAGTCCCGAGGCCCTCCATGGCCTCCAGCAGGCTGTGCTCCAGGCCCCCGTTCCCCAACAACAGTGAGGACAAGTCTGCGCTGTCTGTCCCCCTATAGACCCCACGAGTCCCACCCAGGCCTTTCAGGGCCCCCCGGGGAGAACTGTGGGCATTGGGAGTGCTGAGGGAGGAGAGGGGGGGTGAGGGCTGGGGAGGATACGGGGAGTTTAGGGAGCTTGGAGTCCGGTCATGCCACACTGGAGGAGGAGTGGAGCTATGGAGGAGAAAGAGAGAAGATGAAAAGTGGAAATGAAGGTAAACAAGTAGCATGTTCACACATTAAATAAGTTAAATGGAAACACAAAAGACATGAGGAGTGGAAATTAATAAACTTTAACTAGAGTCAAGTGTAGTGGTCTAATTTGAAGAAGGAGCAGAAGCACTGAAGTGATGAACGTCAAGCCACAGTTCTACAGATGGAGACGAATGTTGATGAGAGGTCAGACAGAAAAGCAACAGTTGCTCAGATAGTAACTCTTTACAACTGTCCATCATCCCTCTATTTTCCTAGCACCAACTAAGCTGGTCTTTTTAGACGTCCCTCTTCCCAGCAACACTTCCCAGTTCCTCCTGGGGAATCCCAAGGCTCCCCAGGCCAGATAAGATATGCAATCCCTCCAGCGAGTTCTGGGTCTGCCCTGAAGTCGTGTGGAATCCATGACACCAAGAACTCAGGCCGTTCAATGGCCTACCATATTTGCATGGTGTTGAAATAGAGTTGTGTGTGTGTCTACCTCTCTGTGTGTGGGAGGGGGCTGCCTGATGACACCGAGCACATGGAGCCGAAGATCCTCTGACAGGAAGCAGGAGTGACGGACACATCTGATCTGAACAGCTCCCCCTCTGTGGAGCTGCTGGTGTGGTTCATACTTTCCAGGAAACTCCGGGAATCTGACAAAAAAGGAACAAAAACCTGTGTTCATCCCCTTAAACTACATGTGGTCTCAAAATAAAATAAAATAAAAAAAGCTTCAGATGTATTGTAAAAACTCCCAGAAAGTGATACAGTTCTATACTGGTCTAACTACCCAATGCTGACTGATATTTGTGTTTGCTTTCGTTGGGACCCTACCTTTTTTTTTTTTGATTAGAGTTAAAGAGTAACGCACCTGTCATGTTTAACAGAAATTCAACAACTTGTTTAACCTCATTTATTCAGGGTATAATTCCTGGAGTAGTATCAGCAGCAAGTATATGTTTTGTCTACAACTATGAATTCATTAGGATTCTATTTTGTGAGAACATCATCACCTAAAATAACAACATATATTGAATACATGGATGAAACTTCTGAGTTTAGCCTCTAAACATTAAAAATCAACACAAATTAACCCATTTGGAACATGATGAGTGGAGTCAATAAGAGGGAACTTCTGGAGTTTATCTGACATCTGAAGATAAAAGCTGAGAATCACTGCTCTACATGGTTACATGGCAGAAAAACAAACAAAAATCTTGTGAAGCCGAGACTGACAGCATACAGTGGAAGCAGAGGTGTGTGTGTGTGCTGTGGGAGGGAGGCCACTCCAAACATCCCAACATGACATCCTGACATCCTGAACACGCAGTGTGTCATTCAGCAAACACGAGGGCAGGCCTCCTCAGGCCACAGACGGGACTGTGAAGTACGATGAGTCACCGTGAAAACAGTCAATCATTATAAAGACCTCCTTGTTTGACTGGCTGCCTCCCTCATCCCCCTTCCCTCCCCTCTCCTCTCTTCCACTCTTTCCCTCCATTCAAGCGCTCAGAGATAGAGGAATTTGCGCTCAGCCTCCAGCTTTGTTTGTGATCATACTGGACAAGCAGCATCATCTCAAGGGGATTATATAATCACATGTGCTGCTAATGAATTCAAAGAATGCAATAAAAAATGTTCCAATGCATAAATATTCAGAGATGTCTTATACATTAAGCAAAGAACATAAAAATGCTGATTCCGTGTCTGCTCCTACACAGTGACACAATGTATGCTTATATAATAAGATAAAAAAAGGGCCTTCTGCTCAGGAAATCTTGCTACTCTTGGTATCTAAATATATTTTACTAATAAAAAACAGGAAACAACTTAAGTCCCTAGATTAAATAAATGGATTCCTGGTCATTTAATTAACTAATCGAGCATTCAGAACTTTGAACAATCAACTCACTCAATGGCAGGCCCTATCAGTTTTGTGGCTCGGTATATATTCATAAAACAAATTAGGGTTTAAAACAAAGCTTTGTCCACAGGCCCCCGATGATAAATTCAGACATTGTTTAGATGGGATTTTTTAACACAAGAATTTTATTGATGCTGGAGCATCGTTATTTAAGTAAAGAATCTCAATACTGTTGAGATGCTGTGTGTTTAACATGACTTTCCCACAGTTCAGTGTTTCTCACACACATTTCTACGGTGCTAACATTATCTATGGTGTATCAGATGTCTAAAAGTGTGAACTTACTGGCAGCTGCTCTGAGCAGGACTCACTTAAACATGCTGAAAGTTATGTTTTGCATGTTCATCGTCTGCAAGTAAAGTATTCACTTTATATTGGATGTATGCGTATTTAAATGAATTTTCTTATTACATTTTAGTGAAAGAATTAGTATTTTTCATAATTTTACTCTATTTGATAGCTGTAGTTGTTTTGCAGATTGAAGGTTTTACAAGCAAAGCATTTGGTACATTTTTTCAAATACATGCCATTTACCCATTAAACTATCAAGTTTGTAATTATTCTTTGCTCTATAACACAAAAATAATTTAATAAAAATCAGTCAATGGGTTTTTTTTGGTTTGTTTGTTTTGTTTTTTAAATGGTTGATTGATAATCAGTTGAATGCAATCTCAGGACCTTACACTTAAGTTAAAGTAGTATCATGCTGTAAAAACATTCTGTCCCATATACGCACTCTCAATGTAGACCAGTGACACATACAAGTGTTATAATATTGTTTATCACTTGATTAAAATTACTGACACAGTAAAATACAGTAAAAGCAAGCGTTTGTTCTTGCAGATGGTTGAACTTGAGCTAATTTATAACTATTTAAATTTTTGGATGAACGGATGAATTGTTTTAGTTTCTAAAGATCCGAGATTCATTCATCATAAATGCTTGCTTCGTCCATCCAGTAGTGCAAAACTCACAAGTTGAAGGAAATGTCTTAAAATAACTATCACGCTTAACATTTGTAGTGATAAGAATAATAATTTTTATAACTGTATTTGTTTTGTTGATTAATTTTAGAAAATAAGCTCACACCTGAGAAGCTGAGACCAGTTAATGTTTGGCATCTTTGCATTCAAAATTACTTAAAAATTTGCTTAAATAATTATCAAAATAGTCTCCAATTAGTCTCTAATTAATTTTCTTTAAATCAATACATTAACCAGTAGTTTAATTCAAGATAAATAACCAGATTTTTGAGTTCTTCATAATCATTTGTGTGGAAAAAATATGAATTTGTAAAGTAACTGGTAACTAAAGCTGCCAGATAATTGTAGTGACGTGAAAGTAAAGAACTGTACGTAAAGAAAATCAATGAAGTTTGCAAAACAGTCAATAAAGTACCTCAGATCTGTAGTACAGTACAGTGCAGTATCTCCACTTTCCCTGGAGTATCTGATACCCCAGAGACTAACAGGTGACACTCAGCTCGCACTTTCTGAGGTTAAAGGTCAAGAGTCCAGAGCAGGTTACATTGTGTTCTGCCTCTAATTAGACACACACTCATCCACTAATGCACGGCTCAGACAGCCCATGTTTTTAGTCCGTGTTGTTGTTTACAGGGAACCAACACAAACACAGACTGAAGGGAGGGCAGCAGGATTCCGCAAACATTCCCACAGTCACTGTCAATTTTCTCTCGGGATGATTCCCAGAAAGCAGCCGCGTTTCATTTCTCTCTGTTCCCACGGCCAATTCTCCTCGCTGTGGTTTGTCACATCTGCTGCTCATCGCAGGTCGACGCTTAATTATAGAACAGTCCAAACTGTGGCAACAACGACTGACCCCACCCTGACCTCTGACCTCAGATAAGACTTGAGGTTATTACACCCTCACACACCGTTCACCCCCTGTATCCATGCTACGCCGTATCCACAGCTACACACTTCTAGCTGAGCAGGCATTAATGAAGGATCCTGGAGAAACAGCGTACTCTGTGACACACATTACAAGTCAGTTCCCTGTCTGTCATAGCATCCCTAATGGCACAACTCTTTCCTATTGTACTGCATCAAATGTCTTCTTATAGGACTGTATTTATCTTTATTATAGCTCTTTTTCTTTTAAATTCTCCAGGTACCGAAGAATTAATACATGTCTCATACATAGTGCAATAGCCTTTAGAACTGCTTTATTTCTACAACTGTCTGATATGACTGCTCCTTATGTTATACTTAAGAACTTGACATTCTTCTATCTGTTTACTTATTCCTGTTTCCTGCCTTTCTGTCTCACAGTATTGAGTTGTCCATGTGCACGTTACTGGATAATGTGTCAGCTGCTACAGCAATGCATTCCCCCTTAGGGATTGATAAAGTATTTATGAAGCTATGGAACCTACAGTAAAACTGAGTACACCTCTGTGCAACATCTAACTATATAGAAAGGAGTCTGTTATTTTCAACAATTCATCCCATTTACTTCTTACTTGGAGGGTGTACTGCTTGGTTCCTCATATTTTGGCAGTTTTTTGTTGCGCTTGGATGTGCAGTGTTGGAACAGGTAAGACAGACAACTGCATGGGGCCCCAGGCTTTGAGGGGGCCCCCGAGGGCTGACAAACTGTACTCAAAAACAAAGTCACACAATGTGGCAACTGCACTGACCGTTACCCCCACCCCCTTAAGCAACCAATGGTTGATTTGCAATGACATCTCAGTAGGAAACTTTCCTTCAGGGGCATTCTTCCAGCTACCTGGCGGGTGGGCCCGTTTACAACAGTTTTCTAGAAAGAGGTTAAGAATGAAGACAAGTGGGAGCATTTGGGAAAATTGAAACAGAGCATTTTCTAGCAGGTGATGGACAGCAGTATGAATCACAACCCACAGATGCTGATTGGAAATTCCTGTTTCATTTAGGAAGACAAGGACTTCCCACAGCTTACTGATGTGTTTATAGCCTAATACTGAAATAAGAGGCCCTTCATGGCCATAAGTGTGACTCCACACTGAGTTACGCTTGGCGATGGAGTGAGTGTGTGAAGGGATCAGATCAGAATTAGGTCTTAATCGTTTTTTAGATACCCCAAGCTGTTTTGAAAGGGTGCTGCACCAGTGATGATGCCGTGTCTTTGTCATCAAAGGGGTTTGACACTCTGCAGCTCATTAACCCAATTTCAGTCTCCACACTCACAGACTTTGAGGTGAGTTCCCGATAAGTCCACTGTCAAATCATGAAGTGCATGAGAGCTCAGATGTGGACATTATGAGGCTTTTGTGTAAGTCTGCATATATGCAGATTCTCCTGCTCCCATCAAAATTTACGGACACTTTGGATGGTGCTGCTAGACGTTTTAAAAATGACAGTGAGGGTGCGATGTCCTCATGTGATCCACCACTCGCTATCTGTTGTTTTTCACTTGAAACCTGAAATTTTGTCACATAGCTGACTTGAAAGAAGGTAGCCGGTCCTCTGGTTTTGCTTAGGCTTAGTTTAACATGGCATGCTAACTTTGTAACAGCTTAACGCTTAAGGCGACGTTTTGAAATTTGGTCCCACATTACATTCATCAATCTTTGTACTGTGTATTCTCCACATGACTGCCCATACCACAACGTTTGAATAGACTGATTTGAAATTTTACGCAAATGTTCATGTTCCCCTCATGATGCATTGTAATAACTTTAGCAATCCCTTAACTTTCGTTCCAGCTCCATCATCAGACCCAAATTTCAAC